TTTCACGCACCTCTGTGCGCTTGCTCTCTCTCTGTGGGCACCTAGCTCTCTTGCAGTGCTCCCCTTCCTTTGTATTTGACTGGCTCGTCCTCCTTATTCCCCACTTCTACCACTACTACTACCTCTTCTACTATTACTGATGAAATTAAGACAAATGTGCGGCATCTGGTTGCCTTTGTTGTGGACGTTTCGCCATCCAGTGGCTGGCTGGATGGCGAAACGTCTACGATAGGGATGCCCGGGTGTTGCGCATGTGTCTTAATTTCATCTTGTCGGTATTATATACCATTCTTGTACTACTACTACTACTACTACTACCACCACCTCTTCCTGCATATATATATAGCCATCCTGCTCCACTTCTGGTTAGTGTGACTTTGTAAATGGTCCAAGTCGGACCGAAACATCGTCGTAAGCTTCTCTCTTTTATGTGCGGGTTATTTGTGTATCGTTCCAGTCACGGTATTGTGCCTTTTTTTTTGTTAATTGTGATATGTTGACAGTTGTGTTTCGGATGAACATGCAGGGTAATGCTCACCCAAGGAGAAACAAAGCCAGACTGAGTCAGGACATGTGGGATGCTTTGTGTGGGCGCTGGCAGGTGGACATGTTCAGTACAGTAGACCGGCAAAAACCGAGGTGATGAACAAAAACTGGGGCAGAATTTTGACGAAAAAAGTTGTCGAAAACCGAATTCGATGAAAACCAGGGCAAATGAAAACCGAGGTTGCACTGTATATTGTAATAAACAGAATAGAGGAAATAAGCTCTAATATACATTACAGTGGTACTTCGAGTTTCGTACAGCTCCCAACTCGAACAGTTATGTAAGTGTATTTTTGTAAGTGCTTTTGTATGTGTATTTTTGGGGGTCTGAAATGGACTAATCTAATTTACATTATTCCTTATGGAAACAAATTCATTCAGTGTCAGCACTTGAACAGCCTTCTGGAACGAATTAAGTTCGTAACTCAAGGTACCACTGTACAATGGACCCCCTTCATGAATTTCAATTTTCGGAAACTTTTTTCGTCAAAATAAAGCCTCATTGTTCGTGATTTGCCTCGTGATTCGCCCGTCTTATAGATCATGTATGTGCGGCCGGGAGTGGCCAGGATTACACAAAGGCTCCCACATAACATTCAGAGCATCAATGTGGCATTGTTTCTGTGCGAGTGACCATCACTCCAGGCGTTCATACAATACGTTTCGTAATAATCCTTTGGTTTTGGTGCTTGAAACTGCTAAATAAGCCACCATGAGCCCAAAGAAAGCTTCTAGTGCCAGCCCATTGGTAAAGAAGGTGAGAAACACGATACAATTAAAGAAAGAAATCTCAAAAAATGAAAGTAGAGTGCGTGTGGCCGAGCTCAGCAAGATGTACAGAAAACCCCATTCAACAATCACTTCCTTCATGCCTAAGAAGAAGGAAATCAAGGAAGCTGTTGTTGTGAAAGGGGTAGATATGCTCGCCAAAAAGAGATCGCAAATTCTCGAAGATGTTGAGAATTTGTTGGTAGTGTGGATCAATGAAAAACAATTAGTAGGAGATAGTGTTATGCAGTTGATAAATTGTGAAAAGGCAAGGCAGTTGCATGCTGATCTCGTAAAGAAAATGCCTGCAACGAGTGCTGATGTTAGTGGTTTAAGGACAGCCAAGGCTGGTTTGAGAGATTTTAGATGCACAGTGGCATACGCAGCATGGTAAGGCATGGTGAGGCGGTGGGTGCTGACATGTGTGCAGCTGAAAAATTCATGCAGGAATTCAAGGACTATGTACAGGCTGAAGGATTCCTCCCCCAACAAGTGTTCAGTTGTGACGAAACGCCTCTTTTGAAAGAAAATGTCAAATAGGACCCACATCACTCAGGAGGAAACGGCACTTCCAGGACATAAGCCTATGAAAGACAGGCTAACTCTCATGTTCTGTGGTAATGCTAGTGGGGATTTCAGAGTGAAGCCTTTACTGGTGTATCACTCTGAAAATCCCAGAGTGTTCAAGAAAAACAGTGTTGCCAAGGGAAAATTGTGTGTGATGTGGAAGGCATGAGTCACAAGGGAAATTTTCCTTGATTGGTTCAATGAAGTGTTTGGCCCCTTTGATATACCTTTCCTATGAAGAATTTCGAGAGTATATCTACTCTCTGAGCCCGGCCATGGGCCAGGCTTGTCTGGTGCTCACCTGGTCAACCAGGCTGTTGCTGCTGGAGGCCCGCTGTCCCACATATCCATCACAGCCTGATTGATCTGGCACCTGGTGAAGATACTTGTCTAGTTTCCTCTTGAAGGCTTCAACACTTGTTCCAGCAGTGTTTCTGATATCTTCTGGTAAGATGTTGAAAAGTCTGGGACCCTGGATGTTGATAGTGTTCCCTTATTGTCCCCACCGCACCCCTGCTCCTCACTGGGTTTATTTTACACTTCCTCCCATATCTCTCACTCCAGTATGTTGTTATGGCAGTGTGCAGATTTAGGACCAAGCCCTCAAATACCTTCCAGGTATATATTATGTACCTCTCTCTCCTCTGCTCCAATGAGTACATGTTCAAGACTTGCAGGCATTCCCAGTAATTTAGGTGCTTTACTGGCTCAATGTGAGCCATAAATGATCTCTGTATTTGTTCCAGCTCCGATATTTCTCCTGCCCTGAACGGGGCCGTCAGCACTGAGCAATACAGTGGACCCCCGGTTAACGATATTTTTTCACTCCATAAGTATGTTCAGGTGCCAGTACTGACCGAATTTATTCCCATAAGGAATATTGTGAAGTAGATTAGTCCATTTCAGACCCCCAAACATACACGTACAAACGCACTTACATAAATACACTTACATAATTGGTCGCATTCGGAGGTAATCGTTATGCGGGGGTCCACTGTATTCTAAGTGAGGGAGCACTAGCGATTTGAAGAGTGTCACCATCGGCATTGTTTCCCTTGTTTTGAAAGTTCTCAATACCCACCCAGTCATCTTCCTGGCTGTCGTGATCTTTGTCTTGTTATGGTCTTTAAAAGAAAGGTCCGCTGACATAATTATTCCTAGGTCTTTTACGTGTTCCTTACGTTCTATTTGGTGACCCTCTTGAGTTTTGTATATAGTGCTCCTTTTGAGTTCTTCATTCTTTCCATACCTAAGCAGCTGGAACTTATCACCATTGAACGTCATGTTGTTTTCCACTGCCCACTGGAAAACCCTGTTTATGTCTTCCTGTACTTTTTCAGTGTCCTCTACCGTACTGACTTTCATGCTTATTTTAGTGTCATCTGCAAAAGATGATACAAAAGTGTGCCGGGTGTTTTTGTCTGTCTGCTATGAGGATGAGGAACAGCAGAGGTGCCAGGACAGTGCCTTGGGGCACTGAGCTTTTGACCTCACTGATGCTGGATCTTGCCATGTTCACTACTACTATTTGTGTTGTGTGTGTTAGGAAACCGAAAATCCATCTGCCTACCTTCCCCGTAATGCCCATGGCCTTCATTTTGTGCGCTATCACTCCATGATGGCATTTGTCAAACGCCTTTGCAAAATGACATCAGTAAATCCCTGGTGTTTACCACGCTATTGGCTCTAGCTGGTGCTCAATTGAACTGGTGCTCCCACAAGGAACTAAATGGTCCCATTACCTGACCAGCCGGGCTGTGGTTCATACGTTGGATTGCATGTGGCCAGAAGTAACAGCCTGGTTGATCAGGCCCTGATCCTCGATGAGGCCTGGTCACTGACCGGGCCGCGGGGGCTTTGAACCCCAGAACACTCTCTCGGGTAAACACCGAGTGTTAAGTCCCATTCTACACTGACCAGGCATCTCAGGCCAATTGTTACAAATTTGGAGGCAGGAAAAATAAAACTTAGATCTTTGTTTGCAGCGCTAGCAGTACTAACGTAGATCTGCGTTTCGACAGTTAAGGGGTTAAGTGTCTGCATATTTACTAAAAATGACATCAAAATACTGATACATGTCATAAATTCACATCTTAATACCCTAACATGTGATAGGGATGGCTGCAATAGTTCTGATTTATAATTAATAATACTATATATGTATTGGGATGCTGTACCATACATCAAAATATTTCTGAAAAATAAAAATTTTCATATTTTTATGGGTTTATTCTAGTTATAAAGCAGGAGCCTCATCTCCCACAGTCCCTGCTTTAACCCTTTTATTATCCAGACCCTTAAATAAAACTTGCTCTTTGTCCAAAAATTCTTCTCAAATGATGGGAGAATTTTTCCCGAATGTAATGACACCAAAAGTACTAAATTTAGTGAAAACTTGTGGAATTACGTTGGAGCAAAGTCAGCAGTCTCAGCACAATTTACACACTGGTGATTTCATACTTTTTAAGTTTTACTTTGGGCCAATTCCATTGTTCCAGTCAACCAAATTCTTAGGTATTTTACTAGTATGACTTCCAGTCTATTAAGAACAAGAAACTGCCCTTTCAGCTACCCTATAAAGTGATCAGAATTTGGTAATTTGGCCAGTATCACACAAAATTAAAAGATGTCATTTTGAAAATAGTGTCCATAAACAGTATAGACATTCCTGGCATTAAAACAGCATTTGCTCTGTTCATTAGTTGTGTCCTCAGACCTCTCGTTTGCTTTCCATTTTTAATTCTTGTTCACACAAAAATAGATTTACTTTATTTATTGGATAATATATAACCAGGAAAGATCATTCTTGGTTTACAGCATCCCAATAATTTAATCAAACCTATTAAAATAGACTAGGGGTTGTAGGGAGGCCTTACTTGTCCTCTGGAATATTAACGAAACTCCAATATTTCTGTTACTTTGAATTCATTTTCAAGCTACTTCCAGTCCTGAAACCAAATTTCAGCAAGTACAACATTCATTATACATACACAGTGCAGTATTTTCTTTTTGTAACTAATTATGGTATCTGCTTTTTCAGTACACTACAGAAATGGCTGTACTGTGGTACCTTCTTCATTTAAGCTATCCTCCTACTAATTGTTTGTAAAAATTTTTAGGTATGAACACAGTGTGCCAGATTATGTTGGCAAAGTATATGCTCCTCAAAGTAATGCTGCTGCTGCTGTTGCTGCTGCTGCTGCTGCTGCTGCTGCTGCTGCTTCTAACCGGCCTGATGGGGTCATCTCTCACTATGCTCTGAAAGTTTCTGAGGAATCATTGGCACAATCTAGTCAGCCTAATGCACTAAGCCCAAGGTAAGATTGTTGAGGAATTGTAGTGATACATGTTTGTGTTGCTGTGATACTTTGCATGATGTATTGGGTATCTGCTTATTTATAAATTGTGGTTTTTAAAATGATCATCTTTTTAATATTTATTCTTACTTGTTAACATAAATACTACACTAGTATCAATGAATTTACTTCTGACATAAAGCACCGATGTATTAACATGATGTAGTGTGTTCTTTGTTTCTTGGGAGGAAGTGAGAGCTGGATTAATTCATGGTGACCACTTTGAGAACTAATATTTCCAATATGAGAAATTTAGTTTAAATGATTCCTCTAGCATGATGATAAATTTGCTGGTTGCCTTTAATTCACTGAATATTATTAACAGTTGAAGGATAATTTTCGAATGGTGAGGAGACGATGACTTCATATTGGATCTCATTTGAAACTCATGTGCCATACCAAGAAATATACTGGATGGTCTACACTTAAGGGAGAGGCGAGCCATTTTTCAGTGATCAGGAAATTAAGATTGAAAAATTATGGAAAAAAATACTTTCTTACTGAAAAATAGTGCAAAATTCTAGCAACATTTTGATGTAATCAGCTTGTTTCTATCATATTTCTAAGTATGTTTTCATTAAATGTATTTTTTTTTTTGTTTTTCCTGTCATCAGAAATACATGTTGGCAATTAGTGGGTTTTTTTTATTCTCTCCAAAAATTACGATTTTTATGATTGTTTCATTCTAAATACTCTACATAGCAACTTCTGTGCTGGCTAAAGTGTAGAACATGATGAGTGTCTCCCAAGTAGCCTGCCGGCTGTCAACAAGGAAGGAGGAGTGCAACACGCTGAGATTTAGCTTGTTATAACTGTAGAGTTTCACACCATACAAAAAAAAGTAATAACTCAGAAATAAGTTATTGGCATTGTTTTCCTTTTTCTGTAACAAGTATTAATAGGATTTATGATTTTTGCACACATTACTGAGGAATGATGATTCTACAAACACCCAGGGGGGGGGGACAGGATTTGCAATATTGTTTACAGCTTTGTTTTTAATGATTTGTTTTCCACAAAAAAAAATTACTACAACATTTTTTTTTTATGGAATCTACTGACATTATGGCTGAAACACCCTGGGTCAACAATAATCTAGCCTTTACCTTTCATCTGATGTTAACTGGAGCATTGTACATCTTCCCAATTTAGTAGAAAAAGGAAAGTTTTATGACCCATAAAATTGTACATAATTTATTTTTTTCTATCTAACTTGAAGGCCAACAGTCAAAACAAACACAGCCTATATTTTTTTTATGCTGCTTAATCCACCGTCAAAATTTCTAAAATCTGACCAGAAAGAAAAATAATGGTGATTTTGCTTGCCCCTCCCTTAATATCAAGATCTGGGAAGTCATTTGGTGGAACAAACTATCTTTAATTTAATAAAGATTTTCTGCTTTTTGATGCTACATATCCTAAGAATCCTTTAAATTACTATGCTGCAAGGTATCATTAAATGATAAGAGATAAATATGAAAAAAATCTACCATCACTAATTAGACCAGAAATCCAGAAAGTTTATATATAATGGGAGAGTTTGGTTTATTATTAGATGTCTTGATGCATGATACCTATAGTGTTTCTTAGTTTTTCCTTGCAAAATTCCTTGTTAGGAAGATACATTTATTACTTCTAACACTATATACAAACAGTAGATAAACACCCCCACATTTCCTCAGCTTGTACACCCAAATAAAGATACATAAGGAGCCAGCAGGCTGCGATATCAAAACAAAACATTTCATCCAATTTCACCAGCTCTCACTCATCCCACAGAACCCTGACCACATCAGAGCCCAGGTGAGCCTACTGGTAAGCACTAAAGCAGCTTAATGGCTTGAGTTGGATAAACAAAAGGAGTACAAGACTTAGCTTAACCCTTAACCCTTTCAGGGTCCCCCAGGCCCTCTCCCAGACTTGTTCTCAGGGTCGCCCAAATTTAAAAAAAAAAAAAATATCTTTTGAAAAGATAGAGAATCTTTTCCCGATCGTAATGACACCAAAAGTACGAAATTTGATGGAAAACTTACAGAATTATGCTCTCGCGAAGTTAGCGGTCCCGACGATGTTTACGCATCAGCGATTTTGCCCACTTTGAGCCCTATTTTCGGCCAATTCCAGTGTACTAGTCGACAAAAATCATAACTATTTCGCTAGAACTCCATTTTTCCTATTGAATGAGTACAAGAAATCACCCATTTACCGATTTCAACTATCCATTACAGTGGTCAGAATTTAGCAATTTTGCCAATTTCACACAAATTTCAAAAGAGGCCAATTTCCAAACAGGGTCCAGAATAAACAAGAAAGACATTCCTGGCACTAAAATAACATTTCCTCTGTTTGTTAGTCACGTCCCCAGGCCCCTTTTACATTCTTTTGCTTTCCTTTTTGAATTTTTATTCTCACAAAAAATAGAAGATTTACTGTTATGCAGACTACTGCATTAGTGTAGAAATGGTATAAATAATATTGGCACACTTGTGAAAGAATATTAGACTCACCAGTTGATGTGTATTGGACGCTTAGCATGATTTGTTTACTTTTGAACTTTGGTAAAAATCAAACATTTCTGCTGCTTTGAGCTCAATTTCAAGGTACTTTTCGTTGTAAAACCGGTCAAAATCGTCTCAATTTCTGTAATGTGTGTTCCATTCTATAAAATGAGACCAGGGAAACTAGAATACAACAATAAATACCATACGAAAATACAGTGCAAAGTCGCTGTTTTAATCCAAAAACAGTCAGTTTTTTTTTTTCTCATTACGCACTGTGTGCTGCAGGATTTTTTTTATACTGCGCACACTGACCATATAGACCCATTCTTTCATATGTAGGCCTACCAGCTTTCTCTCACTAGATTTGAGGGCGCTATAATTTAGGCGTACTAGTACGTCAAAAGCCCTGGTGCATAAGCTGTACTAGTACGTCTGAAACCCTGAAAGGGTTAAACTGTCCAAACATAGATCTACGTTTTTTCACATTTGAAAGTATGTAAAAAAAAATGTAGATTTTTTTTTTTTACATTTGAAAACGTGTAAAAAAAATCTTGATCTGCCTTTTTTTAATATGTAAAAAAAAACATAGATATACTTTTGGAGCACTACACATGTGAACGTAAATATGTTTGGACAGTTTAAGGGTTAAATAAACTGCGTCTCGCCAGCATGTCACTCATGCTACTTCCCCACATGACTGCCCACGCTCACACTTCGATGCTACACACCCACACTTGGGAAATAAGTCATGACAGGACTTCTTTACATTTTACAGTTTAAGCTAATTTAACCCTTAAACGGTCCAAATGTATATATACGTTTTTTAAACATTTGAATGTATGTAAAAAAATGTAGATCTTTTTTTTTTACATTTGAAAATGTGTAAAAAAAACTTTTATCTACAATTTTTTTTTTTTTGTTATATTTGAAAATATGTAAAAAAAAGTAGATCTGCTTTTGGATCACTTCTGATTTGAACGTCGATGTGTTTGGATCGTTTAAGGGTTAAAGTGCCCACAAATATATAACTATTTATAAAATAATGGTTTACAATTCTTTATCTTGTTCAAAGATACTGACATTTAGATTTAGATGTTAAACAACTTTCAGAGGGAATGCATTTTGTAATTCTTTTATTTTTAATGAAATTGGAAGAGGATTATGTCAGTTTGATATAATCAAGATTTCTTTAGTGTTCCAGTGGGAGGCAATAATATAGCTTACCGGTTGCCAACTATCAACCAGAACACTGTCATACATCATCAGCCGGTCTCCAATGGAATATCTAGTGCAAGAGAAATGATAAGGCTTGTTGCTTTGAGCATTACTCAATTTGTGTAAGTTGAATTGTACATTTATTCTTTATATTACAATATAGGATATTTCTTAAGCTTAAATTTTAAGTTTTTTAAAATTAAGAAATGAATTTTTGCTCACATTTTTATTATTTTAGCATAGTATAGGCATACCTCGCTTTAAGGTGTTTTACTTTAGTGTTTCCCTACTGCAGATGCTCCTCGTCTTATGATGGTTTGACTTTCCAGATGAAGCTTAAAATAATTACCCAGCACAAAGATGGCAAGTTTGTAACTTGTATTTATTTATTTACTTTTCATTACTGGTGTTTAGTTAGTAATTATTTGTTTATTATTCATCAAATCATGTTCATTTCTGACTTATGGTATTTTTTATCTTATAATGGGTTTGTCAGAATGTAACCCATCATAAGTATCGTAAGTCAAGGAGCACCTGTACAGTGCTTTTCAGTTACATATAATGGCTATCATTATTGGCGCTTACTTTGCTTTTAAAATGGTTTGCACATAGCTGAATCAAGCAGTGTTTTTAGGTCTCTTACTATTGTGCACTTAATAAATGATCGCATTCTTCTGAACCTAACTGCCATGTTAGCGAGGTATGCCAGTAACTAGTTCCTAATAAGTTGATTACATTATAGCATATGCAGTTTATCAGGAGCTGTTCCTTTAAGATTTGCTATGAAATATATAGCTGAGGTAGTTATCAACATGTACCATAATCTTTTTTATCCAAAGTAAATGGAAACTTCATTGTTATGTGGGTAGTTATGAAGGGAATTCTGACATAAAGTGATTGAGCCTTGGCTTCTGCATTGCTTTACAGGTATAGTTCCCCAATTCTAGGACAATATTAAATAGAATTGTAGAATTTTTACTTGCCCTACATTTTTGAGTTTGCAAAGTTATGCATTGCTCTCCTCATTTTGCTCATTAACTAAAATCAAGGTGCATGATTTGTTTTGTTTGTTTTTTGTACCATGTTGCTCTATCCTCAGTATGATATTTGTCACACAGTACATCAGAAAGTCATTAATTTGGTAGATAATTGCAGTTAATGGCTCCACCCATGTTGTGAGCAGTATACTGTACCAAAATGCAACTCTAATTGGTCTAGAGTTCAGTTGTTTAATAGTTAATAAGAATTTGGTCATTGATTGTCACTGTATAAATTTATTCTCTTGTGTAAGAAATATGCTTCTACTACTAATACGTGAAAGACTTACTTTGTGGTACTTTTGGGTGCTGTCCTTGTAAAAAATCTTTTGTATGTGTTGTAGTACATTAAAATATGGCCTTTTTAAAAAAAATTTCATGTGTACATGTACACTGTAAGAAAGCTCAGTAATATTTGCTATATGAAAATAAAAAACACTGAATATTCTACAGTTCAAAATTCACCTGGCAAAACTCCTAAGGCTAAATGGGGGGGACCCTGCACAAGCATTGGGCTTCCTGTCCACCCTAAGGCCACTAGAGATGGTGACTGACAGGTAAATACTAGTAAATCTCACTTATTTTAATAGAATTTGGAGAATTTGGTGCTGCAGTGGATTTGTAGATATAAAGTATTGGTGACAAAAATTTACTGTTAGTGATGTGTTAAAGATAGTTCCGACACTCTTTGCCACCGTCTTTATCCTGATAAGTGATTTTGTATGTATTATTATAATACATGCAGTATTTGGTTTAGTTGAAATATCTTGGTACATATACACATTGTGTCTTGGCCATTCTTACTGTTCAAAAATAACAAAACTCGGTGACCTGTATCTCACTGATTTTAATAGATTTGTTGTGATTAAAGTCATTTACTCTTTATCAGCTATGAATTATTATAATTATAATTAACTGTAAGTAGTTAATTGTAAATTTACAGTTAACCCTTTCACTATAGCTCGTGAAGATCTACATAATTGAGGCCAATGTCACTTGCGTACCTCTAGTTGTAAATTCTGGTGCCTTCATATATGGTATGAGAAGCTTGGGAGGTCTAGGTATGAGAAAACAGGTCTATGAGGTCTGTGTGTGTGCAGTATGCACACACACAGACCTCATAGGGCTGCTGCAATGCAGCAGGGAATGCCTGTTAGTGAACCATTGAATACCATGGCATGCCTGGCTGATTCTCTTACTCCCAAGCGTATTGCCTGCTTATTATTCGACAGTGACAGTTTATGTACTGATATAGTTTCTGAAAATGAGCTCTATGGTTTCAAGGAGTAAATGATCCAGAGTAATGGGGAAATGCCAAGAATAGTGTTACAAACTACCAACCATCTACCTCGGGCATCAGTGCATCTACAGCCCGTCCACACCATAAGTGAAAGCTAATAATTTCTTGTAGTTTTGGCACAGATGTGAATATAGGAAAGAGTAAGGTGATGAGGATAACAAGAAAGATTAGGTGACGAAAGATTCGATATCAGATTGGAGGGAGAGAGTATGTAGGAGGTGAATGTATTCAGATATTTAGGAGTGAATATGTCAGCAGATGGGTCTGTGAAAGATGAGGTGAATCATAGAATTGATGAGGGAAAAAAGATGAGTGGTGCACTTAGGAGTCTGTGGAGACAAAGAACTTTGTCCATAGAAGCGAAGAGGGGAATGTATGAGAGTATAGTTATACCAATGCTCTTATATGGGTGTGAAACATGGGTGGTGAATGTTGCAACAAGGAGAAGGCTGGAGGCATTGGAGATGTCATGTCTAAGGGCAATATGTGGTGTGAATATACAGAGAATTCATAGCTTGGAAATTAGGAGGAGGTACAGGATTACCAAGACTATTATCCAGAGGACTGAGGAGGGGTTGTTGAGGTGGTTCAGACATGTTGAGAGGATGGAACAAAATAAAATGACTTCGAGAGTGTATAATTCTGTAGTGGAGGGAAGGTGGGGTAGGGGTCGGCTTAGGAAAGATTAGAGGGAGGGGGTAAAGGAGGTTTTGTGGTCAAGGGGCTTTGACTTCCAGCAAGCATGCATGAGTGTGTTAGAGAGGAGTGAATGGAGACAAATGGTTTTTAGGACTTGACGTGCTGTTGGAGTGTGAGCAAGGTAACATTTATGGAGTCAGGGAAACCGGCTGGCCAGACTTGAGTCCTGGAGATGGGAAGTACAGTGTCTGCAGTCTGAAGGGTTTGCAGTTTTATAACTGTAGTGTAAGCATGCCTCTGGCAAGATAGTGATGGAGTGAATGATGAAAGTTTTTCTTATTCAGGCCTCCCTGCCTTGGTGGGAGAAGGCCGATGTGTTAAAAAAATGAGTAGTAAGAATAACAGTGGTGATGAGTTTAATTTCTTAGCAACTGATGATCAGATACATGACACTTATGATTATTTACTAGTGAGGGTTCAATTTAAATGGCACCACATGTGGTCTGGTAGTGTACCTAGGACTATCCCTAAGGGATGTGGCAGATCATGGAGTCAACTCCAGGGGGTGATAGTGATTATGATGTTTCCATTGGCATGGGTAGTGGGCTGCAGGTGGCACGCATGTCACCAGGTGCTGCGACAAACGTGCTGGTGGCACCAATACCAACACTGGGGGGGGGGGGGGCCATGTCTTGAGCCCCACACCTCAACCACCATAGACCATGTCCACCCCTAACATACAACCACCACCTCTAGCACCACCACAACCAGTCACACATATCCAGCAATCCCTACCAGACAAACTCTAGGATTGGCAGGAAGATGCAAAGTTTGTGCCTATTACCCATCAGTTTGGTAACATTTACATTGGAATCCTGTCAAATTGTACCCTGAAGGATGATTCGGATGAGCTTGGTTTCTTTGTATGTATTGTATTTTGATGTGCTGTTAATGAAAATAATAGCGTCTCAAACTAAGAGGTACCAGTATACAGTGGCAAATGTATGGTGCAACAAAGCTGCAACTTTACAAGTGGAAAGACAACTGTGACAGTGGCATGCAGAGGTCTGGTGATGCCTGGCACCAACTCCTTGATTGTGTGCCCCCAAAGGCTCTAAGTATAAGGTCTAGTACTGAGAAATATTATGTGAAAGGGAGATATTTTGAATAGTTAACCCTTTCAGGGTCCAGAGACCAAATTTCAGTGTGCACCAGGGTCCAAGAATTTAAAAAAATTTTGTTATTTTTTCTTATGAAATGGTAGAGAATGTTTTTCTGATGGTAATAAAACAAAAAGTACGAAATTTGATGGAAAATTGACAAAATTATACTCTCGCGAATTTTGATGTGTCAGCGATATTTACGAATCGGCGATTTTGCCGACTTTGACTCCCATTTTAGGCCAATTACATTATCCCAGTTGACCAAATTCCTAGCTATTTCACTAGTATTACTTCTATTCTATCGATTGAGCACAAGAAATCACCCAGTCAACTGTTTCACCTACAAAATAAAGTAATTGGAAATTGGTAATTTGGCCAATTTAACACAGTTAAAAATATTCCAATTTCAAAATAGGGTCCAGAATAAACAATGTAGGCATTCCTGGCACTAAACTAACATTTCCTCTGTTCATTAGTTATGTTCTCAGGCTTTACAAATGAATTCAATTTTGAGTTTTTATTCACATAATGAATTTTTATTCAAACCAAAAAATAGAAGATTTACTGTTATGCAATATTGTAATAATTGTATAAATATCATCACATTTGTGAGTGTATATTAGACCCGCCAGTTGGCGTGTATTAGACGTGTGAGGTCGTTTGTTTACTCTTGAACATCGGCAAAAATTTAACATTTCTGCTACTTTGAGCTCAGTTTCAAGCCATTTCCAGTACTAAAACCAATCAAAATCATCTCTATTTCTGTAATATATCTTCCATTCTATCAAGTGAGACCAAGAAATTGCAAATACAACTGTAAAAAACATACGAAAAAACACTGCAAAGTCGCTGTTTTAATCAAAATTCAGTCTGTTTTTTTTCTCTCGTTATACACTGTGTGCTGCAGGATTTGTTTTATGTGGTGCACACATACCACATAGATGTATTCTCTCATATCTAGGCCCAAATTTACTACTACGCCA